CATTTCTCAACAAGATATCATTGCCCCTTCATAAATTACCTGAACATTGTGAAGCGTCCTTGAGCAGGGTGATTTCCAAGATTGGTTAGATGGAAACGGTCACACCTTCTCTCCAGACATACTGTCACCATCGCGTGGTTAAAATGGCAATGGTACGTCAATCAGCCACTTAATCAGTGATTCACTTGCAAGATTTTATTTCAGTGAGTCAGCAGCCTTTACATTTCATGGAGTCAAGGAGAGGTTGATGCAGGTGGGGCAGAAAAATCAGAAAGTTGACATACGGCAGCAGAGACAGACTGTCAAATGCTTCCTAAGTCTTTAGGAAATTGGAAAGTTATTTACCCATCCACTCACCAAACACAGATGAGGAAATAAGAGCATGAAATCCGGGGTGATTCACCCCTCGCCAGATAACAGGCCAGCACTGCCTTATAAAATAGCATCATTCTGAAAGTAACGTGCCTGTGTTCCTGATTAAATCAAAAGTAGAAATGAAATCGAGACTCATAATTATAGGAGACTTAGCACACTTTACTTTTCAAAACCCCCTTTACATCTCTTATCTTAATTTATCTCTGCACAATCTCCCTGCTTTGAGCTACTTTATTGAAGCACTGGGGGGGCCCCTGTAGTTAATGTTTAGTGTATATGTCAGTCTCTCCCGCTGGTTTATGACCTTCTTCAGGGTTGAGACTGCATCAATAAAGCCTGAGCACTTGGCGAGGTATTAGTCAGGACTTGTTGCTAACACAGAAACCCACTGGATGCGGTTTAAGCAAAAGGAGGGCTTTGTTTCAAAGAGCCCCAGGGCAGGGGTGCAGCCACGTCTGGGACGCCCAGGAACCAAGCTCTCTCAGTTCCTCGCGTCTGGGTCTGCCTCATTAACACCTCTGCAAAAGAGTCTCTCCCTGCTTCCTAGTCCATTCCGCTGAAAACCGGCCTGCCAGCATCTCCCGAGTCGACGTGCAACTTGTCCAGCCCTGCAGGGAGCCTCAATGCTCTCACTCCCAACCTCCCCAGTCTCCAGGGGCCGAGACTCTGATTGGTCCAGCCTGGGTGAGGTGTTCACCTCTAGTCCAATCAACGGTGGCCAGAGGGGTGCGGTCCTCCGAGGTTGTTCCTACGGTAACCACGAGTTGGGGGAGGGCTGGGGGGCAGGAAGGAAGAAGGCACCGTTCCCAGAAAGAAAGGGTGAAGGAGCGGGGCGACCCCAACAATAGGGGGCCACGTTCCCGTGTACACTTGGTACTCTATAAATGCTTACTGATCGGCCTCACTCTAAATGCTTAGTAAAAAGAGCACCCGGGGCTCTGTGTGGCCGCAGGGCTTCCCGCTGTTTTCTCTTCCTGGTGGCGCTTTCTTGCCCGCACCCGCACCTCTTCCTCGTGGCCTGCATTTGGACTCGCCTCTCTTAGGCCTTTTCCGACCCCACTTCGTGATTTTTAAAAACCCTCATCTTGAATGACTTGTTTAATTCCAGCCTTCTCCCAAAGACTAAATTCCAGTTGTTCCAGAGGCTCCCCCAAAGAATTAATCTGCAGAGGTGGGGGCGGAGAGGGGAGTTAATGACTCATTAAGCAAACCTTTGACCTGTGGGAGATAGGAGAAGTGGAGACTTCTTAACCCTTTTCTCCCTAGGGGACTGTCCCAAGGTGAAATGCACGTTGCTTTTGAGAGGTGCTCTTGAAAGTCAGCATCGCCTAGAGAGGTAGCAGCGGCTTCTCACCCCACTGGCCTTGCCCCTCGTCCCTGCGGTCTGGGGACGCTTTCCCTAAAGAAGTAGCAAAGAGGACTTCAGGCTGTGCTTTCTGGGTAACTCAGGTGCATTAAGCACCATGCTGAAACCTGTGTCAGAAGTCCCCTCTCTCCATCTCCGGGCTCTGCTTTTCTCCACACTGTTTTTATTGCTTGCTTGGCTTTGCCTAAAGTTCCTAAGGGTTGGCATCAGCTCCAGCTGGTTCTTCAGTGTGAAGGATGCTTCTTCTTCCTAGTTTCAGCCCAAGTTCTGGGGACTTCCCTATGGGCTCCGATTGGCCCATAGAGGGTCATGTGTTCAGCTCTGACCAATCATTGTGGAAAATGGGGACAGAACTTGGTCTCTAGGTATTCTGTCCTTTCTAGTTACCCTGGGGGGAAGTGATTCCCTCGGATAAGGGGCAAGATGGGGGCTGGAAATGTCGAATTGGGTGTTGGGGTGGAGCGGGGGACAACACAGATGCAGAGGACAGAGTCTTCTCTGCCGACCCAATACAGATCCATGGGGCTGGGAGGAGAAGGGGGAAGGGCAGATCTGGGCAGCCAGCTCTCTGTGCAGTTGGGGTGGGGGGCTAGAGCTAGGGCTGGCCATTCCCCAGGAGCAGGCCCTGTGGCCAAGGACCTGGCGTCCAGCTGGGACTGGCTGTCCTTCTTTGCAGCACCACCAAGTTCTCAGACTCAGAGCCTTCCTCCAGTACCCAGACAGACACCTCCATCACAAGGCTGAGATCACTCAGCAGCCAGGGACCCCTCAGGGAAGCCGCCTGGAGGTTCCTCATTCACCACACACTGTCAGAGAGGCGGCCAGGTAGCGTGAGCCCTTCCCCGGAGACACAGTGCTTGCCCAGCAGGCCCTACCTGAGAAAATCACCTTCCACAGGAGAGTCGGGACTTAGCCAGAAGCTTTAGGCCAGCAGCTCCCCTGACAGCCGTCTGCCCATTCTTGGGGTCACCACCCCCGATCTTTTAGGCTTCCTCTTCCTCATGCCCCCTTATCATTCTTACTCTCCTTGGTATGTCTGCAGCTGTGTGAGTCCTGGGTCCCTTTGAGTAAGCTCTCACTCCCTAAGGCCTAAGACAGCCAATGCTCACAGAGCATCTAATGTACTGGAAAATCATCCAAATGCTGCTGATTGTTACTTTTAATACATACAGCAAAACTGGGAGTGGTGGTGCATGCCTGTAATCCCAGTGACTCCGGAGGCTGAAGCAGGAGGATCGGGAATTCAAGACCAGCCTCAGCAACTTGGTGAAGCCCTAGGCAATTCAGCAAGACCCTGTCTCTAATAAATGAATGAATGAATGAATGAATGAATGAATGAATAAATGGGCTGGGGATGTGGTTCAGTGGTTAAGCCACCCTGGGTTCAATCCCTGGCAACAAAAACATGCAGCAAAGACTCTCTGAGAGCCATGTTTTGGCCTTGACCAGAATCCAACCTGAAAAATGTAATCAGTAAAAAACATCCAGGGGACCTTTAGTCAAATCTGAATATGGATTAGGGATTAGGTTATGTAAAGAAATTTTTGTTACTGTTGTTCAGCATGATAACAGTATTGTGGCTACTGGAGGAAAACATGTCATTTCTTTGAGCATGCTGAATCATTTAGTGGTGAAACTCAATGATGTCAATGCTTTAAATATTTTAATGACAATGACAACCAAATGAAGCAATATGGCAAAAATGTTGGAAATTGCTAAGTCTAGATGGTGGAATATGGGTGTCCATTATACTATTCTCCACTTTTCTGCATGTTTGAGCATTTTATGATAAAAAGTGAAAAAACAGGCTGGGGATATAGCTTTTGGTAGAGGTTTGCCTCGTATGCACAAGGCCCTGGGTTCAATCCCCAGCACCACAAGGAAAAAAAAAGTGAAAAACGAAAACAGAAAATGAGAGTTAATATTAGCATCCCATTTCACAGATGAGAGAGCTGAGGCACAGAGAAGTACTAGCCTCTCTAAGGTCACAGAGCTTGAGAATGACACACTTGTACTTGAACTCGGTCAGCTGCCCCACTGGGTACACTCCTGTCTCCATCCATTCACTTGTGCTGAGTAAGTACCTGTGGGATGGACAGTCATGGTTTAAAGGGTGTTGGCCATTCCACCTCAGGTATGTTCCCAGGACGTACGCTCTACTCTGGGCCCCAGTTCCTATACCCGGCATCTTCCAAGTGGTCTGTGGATTGGTGCTGTGTTCCTCAGCTGGCTTATTAGCAGTTCTACACCCAGCAGCCGAGAAAACATCCTGCATGTGATATGACTCTAGAACTGCCTATTTAAACACCTTTCTGGGTTTTTCCCTGGACGAGCTTTTGCTATTGCTGTTCCTGTTGTATTAATATCGCTTGCTTCTCTGAATTAGTAACAGTGCACATGATGTGAACTTCAAAAAACTCAGAAGAAAATATAGTAAAAGGCGATTCTCCCTCCCGCCCGCTCAACCACCAGGTCCCCTACCTGGAGGCCACCATTCTACACAGTGTGCTGTGTACCCTTTCAAGGATGGCCTGTGTGGATAGAAGCAAGTCGGGAGGGGGAAGGAGGGGGAAAACCCTTTTATGCTCCACCCCACCCCACCTAACACCAACCAGAGGAGCCCATTTTGTTACACTGTGGCCATTTATTTATTTATTTTGGTGCCTGGGAAAGGAATCCAGGGCCTTGTGCCTGCTAAGCACGTGCTCTACCACTGAGCTCTACCCCAGGCCCTAGTTTGGCTTTTTGTGCAAGCTTTCCTAGTACTAAAACATATCTGAAGCAACTGACTAAAAGGATAAAGAACTCACAGAACTTCTCCTGGCCTGGCCCATTTTAAATATTGCCTCCTGTGTTAGCAGTTAATGGTGTGTAGCATGTTACACCCAAATCTGCTGTCTCCTCCAAAGCAGCACATGTTCTGGCCCCACATTTAATGCCCTGCGTTTTGTGGCCTGAGGTTTTTTTTTTTTTTTTAAATATTTTTTTAGATGTCGGTGGACCTTTATTTTATTCATTTATGTATATGCAGTGCTGAGAGTCGGACCCAGTGCCTCACACATGCTAGGCAAGCGCTCCACTACTGAGCCACAGCCCATGGCCTCAGCTCTTTGGGCTGTTTCTATAACGTCCTCGTGGTTTTCTTGGTTTCTGTTTGGTGAATTCATCCTTAAGATCCACTGTGAATATTGCCTCCTGTGTTAGCAGTTATTGATGTTAGGGTTAGGGTTAGGGTTAGGGTTAGCATGTTACACCCAAATTTGCAGCTTAAACAACACATATTTATTATCTCTCACTACTGTTTGTAAAGAGTGACTGAGCTGAGCGGTTCTGGCCTAGACTCACTCATGAGGTTACAGTCAAGCAGTGGCCAGGGCCGCAGTCTCATCTGAAGGCTTGACTGGGGCTGAGTGAAGTGTCTCCAAGCTGCTTCACTGTTGGCAAAAGGCTTCAGTTCTCACCATGTGTGCCTTTCCCATTCAGTCTGTTCTTGGCTCCTCCAGTGTGGGGAATCCAAGTGACAGAAAGCACACCCAAAGTGGAAGCCATAGTCCTTCATAGCATTGCAGAAGTTTCATGTCATAACTTCATCTTATTCTACTAGCCACGCTGACCAAACCAGGTACAGTACAGAAGAGGCCATGCAGGAGTGTGAGGTCCAGAGGTGAGGATCACCTTGGAGCCGCCTGGCCTGTTGGAGTCCTCTGTGGACCTGCACTTTTACTCACTTCCTGCAAAGCTTTTTTCACCTTGTGTTTTAGATGGTTTCCTTCATTCCCAAATCGCAAACTTATTAAGGGCAGTGACTAAACCTTATTCATCTTTCCCTTCATTTTCAGGCCCAAATACTTTCTAATATAGAATATATATTCAATAAATGTCAAATTAATGCCAAATGCATGACTGAATGGATATAAATAAGTGAGCAAATTAGTGACTACATAAATGGATAGTTCAAAAGACCAGAGGAGGTAGGATTGACTATGAGATGGTTATCTCCCCCGCTTTGGGCTTGTCGAGATAGTTAATGAGTTGGTCACTGAGTCCTTGCTTCCTTTTCCTCTGGCTCTTCTCTTTGCCCACCGTTGCCCCTCCCCGTGGTCAGCATCGGAGGGCTTGGTCACCATATCGACATAACAACTTCCTGGGCCCAGGTCACAGCCGATGGCGCTCTTGGCCCAAGCCCAGCCCATGGGCTTTTCTGCAGGGAATTTGAAACTGGCACCAGGAAAGGTCCAACTTCAGTGTGTCTTCTTCCTTGTCAAGAGGGACATGAAAACCGGGAAACTCTTGGTAATCGTGCTTTTTTTGCTCCATGGACTGGGGAGCAGAGAAAGCCAATGTGTGTCAACAGGAGAAAATGAAAAGAGAGGAATGCAAATGAGAAGGGACGGGGAGGTTGGCCCAGGGCTGAGAAGCGCTCTTGTTCCTGTTTCCAGGCCGATGGTCAGGCCCAGCTGTGTCTTAGTCCCCACGACACTCCTCCATTCTTTTAATAACTCTGGGGAGGGGGGCATGGTGTGCGGGAACTCACTTGCCCAGATTATGAAAGCCAATTAGGCATATTCAGTGACAACATGTTGGTGGCTGGAAATGGACACAGGGGCAGGATTTGCACCACAGACATTGGCAAATGCTGTCAATCCAGAATCCCTCCCCGAGAGCTGCCAATAGACCTTCTCCACACACTCAGGGGATTTCTGCAACTTACAGCCCCAAAACACTCGGATGGCTGCTGGGCAAACTCCTACTCAAGGTTGAAGACCCGGAAGATCCCCTGAGAAACGCTTCGGGGGTGATATTTGCAGGAAGCTAGTTCAGTGTGTGCTCACAGTACCTGAAGGACGTCGTGAGGCAGTCCAGAACTCTGAGGGTTACGTGACACAGGCCATGCAGGAAGCAGCAACTCCACCTAGGCAATAACCACCCATGACCCTTAAGGCTGAAGTCCATGCTCCTCAGCAGGCGGGCGGTCCTCTGAGCAGTGGCCTTTGTCCTCCATGCATCTCCAGGCTCTCTCCTGCCAGCTCCTCCCCTGCCCACCTCGTCACCACCCCCTGACCATGCCCTTGCCTCCTCAGTGTTCCCAGCCTCTATCTCACAAGCTGATAATCAGTTGGAGAGTCTGATAAAGATCCCAGTCCGAGCTGGGTGTCGCATGCATATCATCCCAGCAGCTTGGGAGGCTGAGACAGGAGCCTTTCGAGTTCAAAGCCAGCCTCAGCAACTCAGCAAGTCCCTGTCTCTAAGTATAATACAAAATAGGGCTGGGGATATGGCTCCGTGATTGAGTTCAATCTCTAGTACCAAAAAAAAAGATCCCGGCCGGATCCCAGGAGGAACCCACAGACACACCAACGATTGCAGTTTCAGGGGTCATGGACCAAACACCTTCTTGCCTCTAAAGGCTCTTAGGGCCCCTGCATCCCGTGTGCCTCTCTCTAAGCCAAGCCCACCTCTGTCTCAGGATTTAAGCCCATCGCTTTCATATTCATTTTCAAGTCTTAACTGTGCTGGGGACATCTCGAAGGAAGCATCCTATTGTCTTATTTGTGAGTATGTTGATGACCAAGGGATGGCAGGGTGTGTCCCAAACCTCAAGTTCTAATCATGAGATCAGGGTGTAGCTACAGCCACAGCCAGGCTGTCTAAGTACAGAGGTGTGTCACTGAGCATGGTATTGCCATTACTAAAGGAAGCACATGCCACCCACAGTTAGGCCTGACACCCAGGGAAAATGAGAAGCAGGAATCACTGTGGCCAGGGTGTTCCCAGCACTGGTGGCACGAGAGGCTCAGGGGGGTGAGGACCTGCCTTAAGCAAAAGATGGGGAGCCGCTCAAGTGTGGTTCTAGGGAAATAAGTTGAACTTGTAGTCCTGGAGATCTGGGTTCCCATTCTAGCTCTGTCACTTATGGTTTGTGACTGTGAGTGAATCACTTTGTTTCTCTCAGCCCCAGTTTTCTCACCTGCCCAATACGACTTTATTGAATCACTATTAAAAGAGACAGCTGTATGAAGTGCCTGTATTGCAGGATGGTCAAGAAAAGTTTAGCATCGCCTTTACCTGTGTTTCCTGCATTCTGTCACAGGCAAAGAATCCATCCCCTCCAACTAAAGCAAAACAAGAAGTGTATTGCAGGAGTGGAAGTGCTGACTATTTCCCAATTTCTTCCATCCCTTTCTTACATGATAAAATAATTTTTACCTAAGTACATAGTTGCTTAGTTAAATACTGCCTTCCTTTCCCCAGCCTTCCTTGTGGATTGTCACACTCTGGTGACTATGGTCCAGACATTGGAATGTGAACCAAACTGACATGCATAACTTCTAGTTCATGTCCTTAAAGAAAAGGCACATATTCTCATTTTTCTTCTTCTCATATTCTCTCCTCCTCCCCCATCCCTCCTCCTTCTCCTCCTTCTCCCCCTCCTCCTTCTCCTCCCCGCTCTTTCTCCTTCTTCTTCTCTGTCCTAGCTAGGACAGGACTGGTGCAGCAGCAGCCATGTTGTCCCATCAAGTAGAAATTGAGGTTTAGAAGGATGTTAGGTCTCTAGTGACTTAGTAGAGCAGAGGCACCCTACCAGTTCAGATATTAAAGTACAAAATAATTAAACTTGCATTTGTTTAAGGATTGTCAGTCTTTGGGTTTTATTACAGCAATCAAACCCATCCTCTATCTAACACTCAGTAAGCCACGGGGAAGCTCAGAGCATCCAAGGAAGAGCCTAACCGTCAGCCTTCATGAGGAGCAGACGTCAGGCCAGCTCCTGGACACCTGCCTGTAGATGAGGCTCAAACTGTTCAGGCCTCCACTCTTGGGAATTCATTCAGTTAACTCCCATATCAGTTCCACACATGCACATCATTTTGATTTTTTGTTTTTTAAGGATTTTGTTACATTTGTACAAGATGTTCTAAGCTCAAGTTGTAATTTTCCTGCTCCAGCCTTAGAATCTGACTTTTCAATAATGAGTTTTCCCTCTTTCAGTGGAGAATGGAAACTAGAAACTAAGATCTGGGCCGCACAGGCTGGTATAGTGGTACGGGCAGTCATTCCTTCCGGGCTTCTAGCAAACCGGAAATGTGAGGGAAAGTAGAGTTGTGTAGACACATGCATATGTCTTCATCAATTTCTGCATCTATCGATGTATTTTTTAAAACCATGTATCACACCAACCAGTTCCAGTCTGCACCCAGGCCTGGGTCCTGCCTTTCTTCTCTGACAGCAGGAACCGGATCTCATTATCTCCAACTATTTCCCTGTTTGCTCAGCCCCCCAGGCAACCCAATCCTCTGACCTTACAGGTGGCCTCCTCCTGTGCAGCCCTGCCTCACCCACCAATCAGGCCCTCAGCATTGACCTAGTTGCAACCCCACCCCCGTGAGTATTGTATTTAGAGACAGGGTCTCACTGAGTTGCTTAGTGCCTTATTTTGCTAAGGGTGGCTTTGAACTGTGATCCTCCTGCCTCAGCCTCCTGAGCTGCTGGAATCACAGGTGTGCATCACTGTGCCCGTCCTCTACGTTTTTTATCGGTGCATTATGGTTGTACATAATGATGGGATTTGTTGTTATGTATTTGTATGTGCACACAATATATTTGTGTTATTTTTATTGTTGTATTATTTTATTTGGGGGATATTTTCAGTCTGAGGTTGGTTGGATGCACAGCAGCAGAGCCTCATAGCAATATTTGGAGGAGGCCCTTTTACTGCCCCCGTTTTACAGATGGGACTGTGGAGTCTGGGAAGGGGAAGGAAACTGCTCTAGGCCACATAATCAGCATCAGGCCTGGAATTGGAACCACCACATCCCAGCCCACTGTCCTGATCTGTGCCCTTGAACCCACGCTTCATGTTCCTTTGACTGCCATCTGTGGCTCTGAGGCTGCCCGTGCTCCAGCTAGGTCCAGTTTGTCCAGGGAACAGTTCCAGGCTCACAAATGATGTCAGCGCCAACTTTTTAAAAAAATATTATTATGTGATATTTAACACATAGAAAAGGAAATACGGCCAGGTGCGGTGGTGCACAAGCACTTGAGGATCTGAGGCCAGTCTGGGCAGTTTAGTGAGAAACTGTCTCTAAATAAACAAAAAACAAATAAATGGAAACATGTAATATGTATTTATAAGTTACCAAGCATAACAATGAAAGAGCCCTCATGTCTCCAAAGCTTGCCTCCTAACTTGAAATATGCTAACAACGGGGCTGGGGGTGTGGCTAAGTGGTAGTGTGCACAAGGCCTGGGTTCAATCCCTCAGGAGCTGGAAAAAGTAAAAAACTTAAAAAAACAACAATAACAATAACATCAAAAACCATTAGCAAGTTTTTAAAAAACAGGCTTGCTGGGCATGGTGGTGCACACCTATAATTCCAGTGATTAAGAGGCCGAGACAGGAGAATTGCAAATTCACAAACAGCCTCAGCAACTTATTGAGGTCCTAAGCATCTTAGTGAGATCCTGTCTCAAAATAAAAAATAAAATGGTCTGGGGATGTGGCTCAGTGGTAAAGCACCCCTGAATTCAGTCTCCAGTACCCCCTCCCCCCAACAGAGGTTTAAGATTTACATTGTGTTTTCAAGACACAAAATGTCTCTCCATTTAATCTCCTAACTGGAGACCTGAATCTTCCCCATGGGTTATCCAGCTGTTTCCCTCTGTTACCCTTCCTCAGAAGCCCTTGACTACTCTGTTTTGTTTTGGTGTTTGTTTGTTTGTTTGTTTGCTTTGGTGTTGAGGATCAACCCTGGGGCCCTCCAGCATGCCAGGCAGGTTTTGTTTGGAACTGGATGTCCTACCAGCAAATCCTGTGTTTGTCTTTCAAAAGTGCAACACAAATCTGATCATCTCTGCTCTTTTCCCCTAATCCAAGTAGCCTCCTTGTTGCTCTCCCCTGGGATGCACAATGAGCTTTTTTTAAAAAATTTTCTTTTGTGGTGCTGGGGATTGAATGCAGGACCTTGTGCACTGTAAGACAGGCACTCTACCAATTGAACTATACCCCCAGCCCCTGCAGTGAGTTTTCAATTAAAAGGGAATCATGTTATATGTTTTCAGCTGGGCTGGGTGCTGGCCCTTGGGCCATGCCTATCCTGAGCCAATCCTGCATCCTCAGGGTGGTCAGAGGGTGAGGTAAGGGCCTCTGCTTGTGGGCTCCTGCATGGCCGCAGCCATTCCTGGTTCTCAGCCAACATCAGTGAGATCAAACACTTCCTTTTTGCAACATTCTGCAATGCCCTCTCCCCTTTACAAGTGTGAAATAAATTCACAGATAATAAAACCTACGTAATTTCACACTTGTAAAGCTCAATAGAATGTACTGGAACTTATAGGAGAAATTAAAGAAATTAACATTTGATGACCTGTTTCACATAGAAATGCTCTGGCAGCGGTTTGGTCCATGCCACCAGACCACACACAGGAAGCAGGGTGGTATGTAAATGTCCCAGTGACAAAGGTGAACAGATGAAGGTTGGTGTGCTGATGCAGATTCCACAGAGAGGCGATTTTCTTTAACGGTAGATGACTCTCAGATGAACAGAACAAAGCATGGCCTTCCCTCCGTATCCACCAACCTTGAATTCCTGAGCATGCAGGGAGCACTCCATCTGTGTACAAAATTCTTCGCCTTTAATTATCAAACCAAGTTGGTTTCTGGGCTCAGATAAATCTGATAATTTGTTACCTACAGGGATGTCTGCTGGAACATTCTAGAGTGACACGTAGGAGGTCAATGTCATCCCCATCCCTTCAAACTACCTTAAGGTCTGGTATCACTCAGCCTCTTGTGCCCCCAAGTCCCTGTAGCAGTGGGATAAGGCCTATGGGCTTTTCCAAAATGTTCACTAGGTGGCGCTGCTGCTCTGGGTGAGCAGAGTAAAATAAAATAAAAGTTTTATTTTACTTTTTTCTCATTGTCCACCAG